AAAAAACAGAAAGGGGTAAGTCATTATTATCATGAAAACGAAACCACTTTTCTTTTTTTTTTTTTTTCTTTTTTTGCAAGAGAATGTTATGCCTATGCTTTTCTAAAAAATTTAAACAAAGATTAAACTAATAATTAATTAATCGCATGCTTTTGTTTGTTTGTTTCTTTGGTTTGTGGTTTTCTTTTAACGATTTAAAATTTATTTTATTTAAATTTTTCCATTGTTTATTTTTCTTTTTAATTAATATTCAGGTATAAACAAAAACTTTTTACCTTTGCATGATGGCGGCTTTTATTTTGTTATTAACAAAAAACAGAAAAATTTTTTTAATTTCGAATAAAATCAAACCAGATATGATGAAAAGGCTCTCATATATCAAACATACAAAATGAAAATTAAAAAAACAAAATGGAAACCGTGAAAACTATCTACGTCACGCGTGCGAGTTCAGAAATTCCAAAACAAATCGAGTTATATGATGACGTCATAATGAATAATTTAACGAACCGTTCGTTCGTTCGTTGCACTCCTGCGTAAAAAAAATTAAAATTATTATTATAATAATTATGCATGTAATTGTTTCAAAATTTATATATATTGTGAAATGTTAATAATAATAATAATGATAGCATAATTTTAATTATTATTATTATTATTAAGCGGTTAAACAAAAAAAAAACATAAAAATTTGCATTCGTATTTACATACATACGTATATGCTTGTATACACGAAACGTTTTCGGTTTAATAACGTTTAAATCGTTTACATTTTTTTTATTTTATTTTACATGCATGTTTTTTTTTAGAGTCTTTTGCAATTAAGATGAATTATTATTATTATTATAAATAATAATAACACGCCTTAAAATTTATTATTATTATTATTTTTATTTTATAATTTTTAAAAACAAGGAATTTTTATTGTTTTAGGAAATTACACACCTGTTGAATAAAAATTAAATCGATTATTATTATTATCGTTATTATTATTAGATTTTGGATATTGAAAATGTTTATTAATTATACTATTATCATTATTATTATTATTATTAAAAAAATGGAGAAGAACTACATAAAATGTGCCAATTAAAAAAAAAAAAAATATTTCTAGTTTTTTTTTTTTTTTTCTTGTTGACAGTTTTTATTAGAATTTATAAAAAAAAAAACATGGCGACGATGACCGAACATTAAATTTTAAAAAAATTTATTTTTATAATTAATTAAAATTAATGAGAAAAATAAAAGTTTAAATAAGACGTTAAAACTCAATTTACCGTATAAAAGGGCCCTGAAAAAAGGCCCTTTTCTTTTTTTTGGTTTTTTTATTTACTCATAAAATAAAATTATATAATATAATTATATAAAACGTTTTTCCCCAATATTTAACTACGTGATATTATAAAAAATAATAATAATAATAATTTGTTATTATTAAACATAATAATAATAATAATAAAAATACATCGTAAGATTCCGTATACATTAATAATTTTTTTTTTTACTTAATTACGATCCTTATTTCAAATAATAATAATAAAAGTTTTTTTTTTTAATGTCCGCGTTTTAAATTTCGCAATAATAATAATAATAATTTTACACCGAAACGTTAATTTAAAATTATTATTATTATTATTATAAATAATATTTTTTAGAAAAAAAAAAAAATTTAAATAAACGCTCGTGTTTTTTTTCTATCCTTCTTCTTCTTCTCATTCTTCTTCTTCTCCATCTTCTTCTTTTTCTTCTTCCATTAAAATTTTATGTTTACATGTAATAATAATAATAATAATAAATTTTTTTTTTCGCAGGATTACAGTCAAAATTGATGATGATATGCTCAAATATTATTGCAACGAAGATTTATTTTTAATGGACATACGACAAGATCGGGATGAAAGCGACATGATCGAGATTACACTTATCGAATTTATCGATCGCTGACAATCGATCGATATATATATATATATTTATATATATATATTTAAAACACCAAAATTATGATCTCATGAAACAAAAAAAAATAAATAAAATAATAACAAATTATTATTATTATAATTAAATTAAAAATAAGTGCGATCCGATGATTTCGTTATATACTATTATTAATATTATTATTATTTTTTTTTAAAAAATAAACATTTATAAATGTTATTAATATTATTATTATTTACATAAAGGTAAGAATAATTAATAAATAAAAGAAGATGACGACAATAATAATTTTTAAATAATGATAATAACGAATTAAAAACGACACGTCGTGTTTGTTTGTTTGTTTCTTTGTTGTTATTATCATTATTATCAGTAATTTTTATTTTTATTTTCGTGATAAAAAAAATTGTAAAAATGAAAAAAAAAAAAAAAAACTTTTTTATAATAATTAATTAATTAAAGAATATGTTAAGTGTTCGTTTTTATTACAATTGATTATTATTATTATCGTTTTCATAATTGTTGTATTATTATTATTATTATTATTTTTTATATATAATAAATAGTTATTGTTTAATAGTTATTGAACACTTAATAATTGTAGAAACGAATTGTAGTTATCGTTTTTTATATTTTGTTTTTTTAATGATGACGTCACAGACGTTAAATGATAATAATACAAGAGGGTTGATCAAAAATCATGGGTTACTATATATATATTGTTTTTTTTTATATATTATTGATAAAATTATTATTATTATTATTAATTAGAATGATAATAATAATTGAATTAAAATAAATAAAAAAATAAAAAAGAAAATCCCGTAATTACAGTTTTTTTTACAATTAAAAAAAAAAATTTTTTTATAAATAAATATATATATATATATAAAATTTTACTGCTGTTAACTTTAATAATAATAATAATAATAATAAAAAAAATTTGCTTTAATTTTTGGGTTAAAGTTAATAAGCCCAAATTAAAAAAAAAAAAAAAAAAAAAAAAAAAAAAAAGTTTAACAAGCACAAATTGAATGCGTTTTTTTTTTAAAGCCTCAAACAATAATAATAATAATAGTTTTTTTGTTTTAAATTTAAAGGTAATAAAAAGTGTAAATAATAATAATAATAATTGTTTTTATTATTGTTTATTTAGCTTTAAATCGACCCGAATCGAATTTTTTTTAAATTTAATTTTTTAATATTTTTAGTGCCTTTTATATAAATAATATAATTTCCCCGTGTGCCTTCATTTTTTACAAAAAAAAAAAAAAAAAAAAGAAAATGGAGTTTTTTTAAATATATCTAATATTGTAATTATTAGAATAATTTAATTTAAAAGAAAATTGAGCAAAATAAATATTATTATGATTATGTATTTTTTTTTTTTTTATTATAATTATTAATTTAAAAATGAAAATGAAGAAAATTTTTTATACTTTGTAGTTTTTTTTACTTTTATTTATAATATTAAATGAGCCATAACATACAATAAATCGAGCTTTTTCATGACAGAGATAGAGATAGAGAGAGAGAGAGAGAGAGAGGGAAAGGTTTTTTTTTTTCAAAAGCAATAACATGACGTAATTTGTTAATTTTTTTTTTTTTGTTTATAAAAGTAAGACATTGTTGTTGTTGTTGTTATTGTTATGATTCTTAGTCCAGTGTAATAAAAAGTAAAAAAGCTGCCTTAATCTTGCCATAAATTTTTTGTAAAGTACTTATTTTTTTTTTTTTTTTTAATAAAAATAGTTATTTATTAAGCTTAAATTTTAGTTTATTTAGAATAATTAATAATTAATAATAATTAATGATTAATAATTAATAATAATAATAGTAATTTTAAAATAGATAAATAAATAAATAAATAAAATTTTATAATCAATGCTCATAATTTTTTTTTTTTTTTTATATATATACATATACGAGACAAAACTTTGTACTTAAGCCGTATATTTTTTTTTTGTTTTTTAAAAAAAAAAAAAAAAAAAAAAAAGAAAAAGAAAAGAAAAAATGGCCAAAAATGTTTTTTATAAATTATTTTGATCGACCCTTTGAAAAGTTTTTATATATAATTTTTTTTTATTTCGCTTTTATTTTATTTATCTGTAGCTTTAAAAAAAAAACAGTAAAATATATATATAATGCGAAAATTGTGATTTTCATGATAAAATTTTTTTTATATAATGAAGAAAATAATGTAATAATAATAATTAATGATAACGGTTTTTTTTTTAAAAAATAAATAACGGCCAAAATTTTTTTTTTTTTTTTTTTTTTTTTTTTAATTTTTATCATTTGCTCATATTGAGTACAAATTTTGTAAATTTTTTTTTCTCTTCTAACTGGATATGGGATTTTTTAAATAAAAATAATATTTAAAATTTATTTTTTTATTTTTATTGATAAATTTACATCCTTTCATTGTGTGTTTGTTATACTATATATTATATATTTATATAAATTTATACTAAATTTTTATATAAATATAAACAATAAAATGCAAAATGTTATTCGTAGATGATGGAGAATGTTTTCATAATAAAATTTTAAAAAGCGCGGTTTTTTTCTCTTACAGTTTTAAGTTGGCAACACTTTTTAATTGCGATTCGTGTGTCCATGTGGACGTTAGTCAAAACGTATTATTACTCATTTAATAACAATTGTTTTTTATTTTTCGTTACGACATTGTCATAATTTTTTTTTTGTGATATTAATAATAATTAATCGTGGTTTAAATGCGTGATACGACGATTAGATAAATATTTATTTATATTTTTTTTTTAAAATGTGTTCTGTAAATGACGACGAAGGAGGATGTAATAATTTTATTACATTTGAAAAATTATCACTGAGGTATTTATTTAATTTTATAATAAAATGGTAAGTGAAACTTAAAAAAAAAAAATTGAAAAGAAAATTTATTTTTTAGTTCTCTTCAAAAATGCAGAGGATGTGATAATAAAGCTTACGTACTTTTACGTAAAAAGGATGCTTATTGCAAAGATTGTTTTTTATTGACGTCCACCCATAAATTTCGGTCTGCTTTAGGAAAATCAAAATTAATGAAACCTAATGATAACGTTTTAGTGGCGTATTCGGGTAGTCAAGCATCTACGGCACTGTTACATATGTTATATAGTGGTTTGTCAGAAAAACATCATAAAAAATTTTTGTTTAAAGTTATTGTGTTTTTTATCGATGGTAGGTTACCAAGTTTTAAATAAACTTTATTTTCATAAGAGACTTATTGCACAAACACAAATTTTTTTTTTTTTTTTTAGAGGGAGCTCTATTCGAAAACTTGAACCCTGACATTAGAATAAAAACAATTGATGAAATTAAACAAATTGTTGATGGTTACGATTTTCCATTTTTCGTAGCCTCGTTGAGCCAAGTATTGAACTGTGATAATAATATTAAATTAAGCTCATCATTAGATATTAAAAATGAGGATGATGAAAAATTATTAAAATTTTTCAATAATGTAAATAATATAACATCTAAAGAAGATTTGTTGTATTTATTAAAAAAAAAATTAATTTTAAAAGCAGCCAATCAATTAAAATGCAATAAAATTTTAACTTCTGAAGTTGGAAATGATTTAGCTGTGAAACTTTTCACTTCGTTTTCTTTGGGACGAGGGGATCAATCTTCATTTGAAACAGTAAGATTTTAATTGTTTTGCAATTTATCATGATTTTATTTTTATCTCCTTTACTACACTTTAATGTATAATTTACATTTTTTATCATTTAAAATTTTGTATGCCTTATCTGAATTTTTAAATATTTTCCAGGGTTTTTGTGATAGTCGAGTTTCAGATTGCAAAATTCTCAGGCCGCTAAGAGATTTTCTTATGAAAGAAATAGTTTTTTATAATAAATTTAACAATTTAAATAACTTTGTAAACAGGCCATCTTTTACCACAGGACTTCAAAGTAGTGCCAGCATTCAAAAACTAACCGAAAAATTTATAAATAATTTACAAAATGACTTTTCATCGACTGTGTACACAATATTTAGAACTGGAGAAAAATTAGATATTAATTTAATTGAAAATAAAAAAAAATTTATTTGTTATTTATGTGATAGTGAAATAAGGAACAATTGTGGAAGTGATTGTTCAGCTCTTTTATCATTAGAATTTTCCAGAAATATTGTGAATGAAAATTTAGGAAACTGTAAATCGAATAATTGCTGCGGTTCTTGTTCTGATAAAAATGAAAATAATAAAAATGGAGATTTTAAAAATTTATTTTGCTATGGATGTTCGGCTATATTAAATGATGTGGTCAGTTTTTTTTAAATTAGTTTTTGCCAAAAGTTTATTATTTATTATTGCAATTATTACTTTAATTTAATTATACTAAAGTATTATAAATATTATTTACTTTTCAGAATAATTTTGAAAGCATACCAAAAGAATTCATTCAAAGAGCCATTGAACAAAAAAATAAGGATTCCATGAAAGAACAAATAATGGAATATTTGATAGACAGTTAAAACGAACAATTTTTTTAAATGTTTTTTTTTTCAGAGGATATGATCGAATAAATTAATAATATAAAACAGAGTATGTGATTGAATTAATTAATGACATCAATATAATATAAATATAATAATAATATAATAAAATAAAATAATAATCAAGGATTGTTTTTTAATGGCTTCCCCTTTCAGTTGCTTAAATTTTCTCGACCTTGATTATAATAACTTTTATTTTAATTTCTCATGATTGATCATATGCTAAATAAAGATAATACAAATTATATTAAAAGATTAAAATGATAGGAAATTTTGCATTGCTTTAAAGCATTTAAATAGTCAATAATTTCAATTACAAATTTATTTCATTTGAATATAAAAAAAAATTTATAAAAATTTTCACGGCCACATTTTCAGTCTTAATCAATTCTACTAATTCTTATGATTATTTATTTTGACTCATTAAATCATTTGATTAAAATAAAATTTTTTTTTTTTTAAATAAATATTTACTAATTAGCAATTTTATCATTTATTTATTTATTTATTAAAAACTATAAAATGACTAATTTTGTTGCACATTAACAAGAAACTTATCGATATGGAGATTATTATGTTTGTAAATTAAATTTTAAATGTGATTCGATTCATTATTCCCCTTATTTCCCTTCCAATTGTTTATATAAATGGGGAACATAATCATCCCATTGAGCTTGATAAAAGTTTCCAGCAATTGGATTTCCTAAGTTATGCTCTTCAGAAAATTTTTGAATGGAAAATTTTCCTCTGTGATCTCCGCTTTTATTCGTTAGTTTTCTTAATTTACTCGTTTCAATTTTTCCATTTTGCTTGTAAATTAAGTATACATAGCGATGTAAGCCAGTACCCTGTGTAAAACAATACACAATCATAAATGATAAAGAATATCAAAAGAACTATGATAAAAAAACCAAAAAATTAAAACATATCATTACTTTTGGTGGTCCTGAACCAACATATTCAGATAGAGTTTCTCCTTTGTTAACATCAGTACCAGGAATGTTAACTACCAGCCAATGATGCCATTCTCTGAATTTTGGATCTTTCCTGCTGGGAGCATCTGGATCAGTCATACATAAAGTGTAAAAAGAATCTTCTTCGGCTTTCCATTTAAGCACAGATGGAGGATTCTTTAAATAATTTTAAATACTGATTATTATTATTATGATTATTACATATGTCATACATCAGAACTTAGGGAAAAAAAACATTGGTTAACCTATAAGTGCTCTTTCTTAACAAATTATTTAACAAGGTTTAAAAAATAAATGCGATAAATTACAAATAATAATATAAATAAATTAATCAATTTTTTTTTTTCCAAGATCACGTGCTTCACATACTGGATAATTAATGGCGTCAAAATATAAAATTGTAAATTTACCTTAACTTGAGTCGGAGTCAATTCGTTACCCAAAGATAATGCTAAATTGCCGTATTTAATTTCAGCAACTTCAGCAGGAGCTACTTTTACGACATCCGGAACGATTTCGAATTTTTCCATGGTTGCTACGTTACAAAATCTTCTTTTTGGACACTCAGCAAAACCTCTTAAAAGCTTTCCACCGGTGAGCAGTAGAAAACGCATAATGGCGTGATTCAAATCCCGTAAGAATTTAATCGTGTGACGTCATTTTTTACTTTCTATGATTTTTATTATTTGAAAATTAGAAAAAATTATCATTTTTTCCCGCCAAAATTATTTTTAATTAAAAATAGGTAAAAATAATCATAATATTTAATAAATTATAATCTCTTGATATCGATTATACAACAAAATATATTTTTAAACCATAAAATAATAATTATCTTTGGTAATTTTTTTTTTTTAAATTACAAACATTAAAAATGAATAGAATTAATTATTTTTAAAACGTTTTTTTTAGTAATTTAACTACAATCGAATAAAAATTTCCCACAATAATCATCAGCTTCTAATGAATTTTTTTTCATTATTTTTCCAGGTTCGAAAATTAAATCGACGATAGCATTTGATTTTAGAAAATACGTTGGAAAAGCTTTAAAACATTCAGTTTTGAGTTTTGAAAACCAAAAATTTTCATCTCCGATTGTTGAATTGCTCGATTTGGTTTCCACGCTTGGAGAACATTTTAAACCTGATGTTTTGCTACCTGTTTTACTTTTTGACGATGAAGTACCTTCTTCGCAAATTTCTTCCTTCAAAAAAAAAATAAATAGTAATACAATAAATAAAAATAAAAATTTCTTTGTATTTGTTGTTGCCAAAATATACAAAAAAAAAAAATCGTAAATTTTTGCCAACTAAAATGATTTTTTTTTTTTTTTTTTTTTTAGATTTAAAGGAAGTGTGGCGGCCATGATGGATTATACATATTTAACGAATCATTTAAAACTTTACTTCATTTTCTTCAACGTTTAAAGCAGGCAATGCTATTTCTATCCAAGCTCTTCCGTGTTGTCCTCTAACAATGGCACAAGGGAATCCAATTCTATCAGAGAGAAGTTTAAATAAAATGGCTCTTTCGAAATAACTTCCAACTCGGATTAATCCCAAAGGTATAATTGTCGTTCCCAACTGACACTATTAAAAAAAAAAAAAAAAAAAAAATTAATTAATTTTTTTAGAAAGAAAATCCGCATAAAATAATAATATTATTAACCTTAATTTCACTTAAATATTTTTCTTTATATTGTGGTATTGAAAGTGCATCCGGTTCTAATCCAGCCATTTCCGTTGCAACCAATTGTGCAATCGTTTGAACTCTTTTTTGTATTAATTGAGGGTGTATGCAAAACCAATTAACATCCCTTAAAACAAGCAAAAAAATATTTTAAAATTGATTTTAGTGATTATATTTCGTACCCCACCCACCCTAACACCCACCCTAAATTAGCTTCTTCTTTGGCTAATTTTTTTTTTAAACATTCTAAATATTCGCTGAGATAGGGATCCGGATAAACGTGACCAAAATTATCGCTGATCCATGAATGAGATGTTTTACGATCTTCGTAATCTACTGAATCGTATGTTATCAATGAACCCGTCAAATTAAAATTTTCTCCAGAATTACGTCCAGCTCCTTTCATGTATTTAGATAAATCTTTGTTTTCGTTTTCGACATTGCCTAAAAATAACACAATACTACGAACTAATAATATATTAAAAACTTTTTCATTTTTTTGTTTTACAATACATTTGCATGCATTTTTAGAAAAACAGACTGTTTAAATTGATTTCATTTAATTGTCCATTTTGAAATTACTTGTTGGTTGTTGATCTGATTTGATGCTGCTGTATTCCGTTTCGCTACCTTCACCTACATTTTGATTAATTGGCATTTCAAAATTTGCCACATATAGGGGAGTTACCGGACAATAAAAATTTTGAAAATATTCATCTAATAAAACAAATTTCCACGTTGATCTTTCCGCCGTGTAAAATCCATCTTCCGTAATGTCTTGAAAATCTAATCGGCCTGAAAACATATTTTTTTTTTTTTTTTAATATCGAATTAACATCGTTACGAATAATATACATTATGACGTCATCAACACTCATACCTGTATACGCAAATTTAGCGGGTAAATAAGCTGAAAATATAGATTCTATGGCCGAATTCCAACTCGGCATTGAATATCTTGTTTTTCTTTGTTCGATCAAGCTAAAATAAAATTTTCGATTTTTAATTAATAGTCGAAAAGGAAAAATTTAAATAAAAAATTATTATTATTCTCACCAATTTAAACCATCGTTTTTAATAAATTCTTTAACAAAGTCTTTATTTTGTGAAGCAACAACCACTAATTGACCTGCCCATTCTCTAAAATAATAATTAAATAATTTAAATTTTTCTTTGATGTCTCCCCCATTTTTTTTTTTTTTTGCCTTTTTTAATTCGTACCTAACCGATGCAAATTTGCTTTTTAAACAACCAATTATACTCGGTACTCCATTTAACTCGTTGAATAATATTTGAGCTTTACTATCCACTAAAAAAAGTGTTAAACATTCTAATGCATCGACTTGGAGAGATGAATCTTCACCCTTTTTTTTTTTTCAAAAAATAAAAAACGATTTAAAAAAAAAATTAAATTTCTATTAAAATTGTTTTTTTAATCACACCTTGATACAAATCAACATGGCTTCCATAAAAAATTCATTAAATAATTTTGATCTCATTGATTCAATTTCGTAAATTCCAATAAATATTTGTATGATATTTTTTTTAAGTTCTAAAGAACAGGTTTTATCATGTATGAGAGCTTTTGGTAAATCCATGAAATTTGAGCTTGCCAATAATGCTGCTGCTCCTTTTTTATGCTCACTTGCCAATGTGCTAAGAGCAAAAGCAGCCATGTTTCTTAAACTCAATGGTTTTTCAGAATTTAATAAAATATCTGTACAAAAAAATGTAGAATTAATTTGAATTGAATTTTTATTTATTTATTTATTTATTTAAAATAATTTTTACCTAATAATAAAGGTATTGGATTTTCTTCTATGATATCTTCCAAAGCAGGAATGTGTTGAGCCATGTTGGCAATACCAAAACAAGAATATTCAACTTTTTTTTCATTTTTAGTATTTAAAAATGCACAAAATCTTGGGACCATTCCAATTTTATGTAACGCCTGTGAAAATTTATTATTTGTATATTTTTTAAATTCATTTACAATTTTATGGTGCACGTTTGCGACAATAAAAAAAGAAAAATTAATTGTTTTAAAAATAACATCTTTCCTCACTTTTCGACCCTTTTCAGTTTGTGACATTTTACTTAGTACTCCAATGGCTTTTTCCAAATGATATTCACTTTCTATGGTATCCAAAAGATTAATCATTCTTGCCAATGCACCAGATTGAAGTACGTAATCGCAAAAATCAGCATTTTCAACAACGTTTATCAAAAGATCGAGAGTCGATGGATGAAGATCGTTCCAAGCATCATTTTCGATTATATCGAGACACGTTTCGACTCCTAACGCATCTCGAAATGCAATCAAAGTTCTCGTATCTCTACACCAAGATGTCAGCTGTGAGTTTTAAATATTTTTACTAAATTTTTTTCATTGTAAAAAAAAAAAAAAAATAAAATTTATAGTTTTCCTTACTTGTTTAAGGATTTCAATTGCTAAACTTTGTATTACAGGATAACTCGATCCCGTTAGGAATATTAAACTGTTTATATCAAAACCTGGAGATTCAATGAAAACATCAACTCCGTAAACGTCATTTAAAAGGTGATTCATTACCTGAATCAAATTAAAGTTTATTTATGATAGTTATTCGAATAAAAAATAAATAAATAAATTTGTTCGCGATGAATTGTTATAAAATTTAAATTACATCTAAAGTATTTTTTTCAACGTCTGGATCTAAGGATGTTACACGAGAAAATAAAATTTGTACGCAATTTGGAACTTTAAGTAAGTTGTAGGCTGCTTCGCATTCGCTACTTAATTCAGCCAACGTTAACGATGAAAATTCATGCATTACAACATCCGTTTCCTGTTTTGAAATAAAAAAGTTTTAAAAAGTTTTCTAACTCTCATCTTTATTTACATTTGTTTATTTAATTACATATTTGAAAAGTTTTATATATACCTTGTCTAAAATATTAACAAACATTTCAAGTACATTTTCTTCTTTAAGTAATTGTTCTCTAAATTCAGGCAAACTGCATAGTATACCTATTAATTTTTGTGTAAAACGTTTTATTATGTTATCAGGGGATTTAAGAAGTGGTAGTAAATATGTTGAGATTTTTTGTGATGTTAACAAACGAAGGTTTTCAATATCTTTTTCAGCAAAAACTTCAAGTGATGCAACAGCCTGTAAGATAATAATAAAAAAATTTATTTATTTTTTCGTTTTTTATTAAGGAATTATTTTAAACATGGTGGAGTATGACTCATATTATTTTTATCAAAACAAATAAATGTCAAAAAGCTTGTCATAAACTAAAGATACATAAATATATATGTATTTTTTCTTTTTTTTTAAATTTGATGGATTTGTTTTGATAAAATCATCATGATTTATTTTATATATATATAACTAAATCAATAAAATATTTACTTTCAATACAACTTCATTTTCAGGGCTTTGTAACATGTAAATAACAGTAACAACATTTTTAGCATCAATTGTTATTGGTTGAAAAACCCATTTTTGAGATGTTGTACGATCATCTCTCCTTATTCCTCCTGTTGTAGTTTTTAAACCTTTAAGTCCTTCTTTTTTCTTTCCAGCCATTTTATTTATATTTATCCATTATTTTTTTAATTTCACATAATTATTATTATCTTTCATCATCATCATCATCATTGGAATTACGACAGGTAAATAATAATTACTCTATGACATTTAAAAAAAAATAATAATTTTTAAAATTGTAATTATAAAAAATTTAAATAATTTTTTTTTGTCTGCTAGAAAACAAAATAATTAAATTTTTTGTTTAACTGATTAAAAAAAAAAAAAAAAGATGGCTTCGTTTAAAAATGTTAATTTCATTTTTAAAATGTAAAAAACAATTTTTTACATTACCCTGTTAAGCTTTTTTGTTTAAAAAATTTCTAATAATAATATTGTATATATATATATATAATGTGTTAAATTAACTAAAACATACATTTATGCGTTTTTATAAATTTTTTCAAATCGTAACGAACGTAATTAATTGTTGACGACGCGTTCATTCTACTTTAATTAAGTCAAAAATTAAATGCATATATGTACATATAAAATTTAACGGATAAATACATTTATTTATAATTGAGGCAACAAGACGAAAATTATATAAATCGCGATTGAGATGATTTTAAGTTGGCAACAATGTTATCAATATAATTAATATTAATCATTGTAAACATCGAACGTTGAGAATGAATGTCGTCCGTTTGTTTACGTCATTTTTATCGTTTATTTTATTATTCACGTCAATAAAATTTTCGTTTTTTTTTTTTTTTTTACATTGTTTCATTTCGGATAAATCAAATTCATGAATTGATTTTGATGAAGAAAAAAAAACAATTTTTAAATTAATTATAATTTAAATAATAATAATAATAATAATAATAATAATAATAATAATAATAATAATAGATTCACGTCTAAAAAAAAAAATTTTTTTTTTTTGGGCTTGATTTTATTATTCTCATAATTTTTTTTTTTTTTTAATATAAGTATCTTAATTTGTCGCGATAAAATTTTTAAGGTGATAAATAAATGAAAATTTAATTTTAATTTTTTTACATTTTATGGAAGAAAAAGAAAGAGAGAGAAAGAAAAAAAAAGGAAAGGTGAAAATTTAATAAAAAGTTACGTTTAATAGAAAAATTTTCTACAAAGTTCTTTCTACTGGTCTTGACAGTAAATAATTATTACAGTTGAAATAATATTATTATTATTATTATTTTGTTTAATTTCGAGAATAATAATAATTATGTAAAAAAAAAATTACAATTTAAAAAAAAATTATTTCGTACGCGTTAAATTAAATTTAGATATTTTCGAAATCGATATACCGTTTTTGAAAACTTGAAATTTTCAATGTAAAAAAAAAAAAAAAAAAAAAAAACATTTCGACGGTTTCTCACAGATAAAACGTTTGCAAAACGCTTGCGTCTGCAGACGGGGAAAAAGAAAAAAAAAAAAAGAGAGAGAGAGAGAGAGAGAGAGAAAGAAAACCGTTCGCCAAATCGAAATTGTGTTTAATATGTACGGCGCTCGCCCGTGCTGCGAACGTTTATACGACAAAAGGATAAAAATTGCAACGCGTTCGCGTTTTAGCCAAAGCTCCCGGGCTTCCCTATATATATATATATTATAAAAGGTAGGATAATATATATTTTTCGCACTTTTACCTTTCACCTTAGTAATAATAATAATAATAATAATAATAATAATATTTTTTTAACGACTCCGAAAAAAAGAATTTTTTTTTCTATTATTTTTTTTTCACGTTTTTAATTCTACTTGTTTTGTTTTCCCCTTCCTTCCTTCCTCCCCTTCCGCAATTTTTTTTTCTCTCTCCTGATTTTTCCTACGGGAAACTTTTTTTTTTTTTTAAACCACGGGTTTATTATTATTATTATTATTATTATTATTATTATTATTATTATTATTATTATTATTATTATTTAAAGTTTCACATACTATTTTTACTTCTCGATTTTTAAGACGATTACATATAATTCAAATTAATTAATTTTAAATACAAACAGCAAAACACGCGATTTCTTCCCCCCCCCCCAATCATCGAATCGTCATTGTATTTAATAATAATAATAATAATAATAATAATAATAATAATAATAATAATGATTTCGTTACAGTTTTTACGATGTAAAATAAATAACGTTTATTTTTTTTTTTCAACCGTAATAATAAATCATTATTATTGTTTTTGTTTATCGATAATTTTTTTAACTCGACGAATTTTTTTTATTACTTTCGTTTGATTCATTATTTAAAATAAAAAAAATCAGACAAACAACAAACACAACAACGACAACGACAAACGACAAACGGAATTTATAACGATCGACGCTTTAAAAAAAAAAAAAAATCTAATAATTATTTTTCATTATTTGATTTTAATTTTTACCTTGGATTTTCTTTTAAAAAAGGTAAAATAAGGTGTGTAGGTGCGTGTGTTCGTGTGTAGATGCGTGAGTAGGTGCGTGTGCGTGACGATTAAATTTTTTTTTTTATTTTTAAATCAATTTATAAAAAAAGAATAAATAAAAAGATTTAAAAATATATGTATGTGAATGATACGCTTCGTCAGGTTTGAATATAATAAAAATTGATTTTTCAATATATATATAAATTTTTTTTTTTCGTTTTTAATATATATATACCGGAGGGTTCTAAATATATACATACACGATGATGATAATGATGATAATGATGATGATGATGATGATGATAAATTTCAAACGACGTATATTAACAGCGAGGAATTTTTTTTTTTTAAATTAAAATCGTTACGATGTAATTTTATTATTATTATTATTAGAATTGTTTTGAATTGATTATTTGTTATTTTACATATTTTTCCAGAAGTCTGGAAATAAAAATAAATTTTTTTTTGTTTCAATATCAAAAAGTTTCACCGTAAAAATAAATAAATAACATGAAAATTTTTTTATTGTAATTTTTTCCATCGTCGTCGTCGTCGTCGACATTTTTTTTTTTTTTCTAAATCAGGTTGAAAATTATGGAGAAAAAAAGAAAAACATGGAAAATTGAATTTTATTTTATTATTTGTTTTTCAAAATTGATTTTAATAACAAAAAAAGAAGAAGGAGAGTAATAAATAATTTTTTTATTTTTTTATTTAAAAAAGTAATATTAATATATAAATAAACAATTTTTTTTAATCAGTTTTGATTTTTTTTTTTTTTTTGCGAAATGTTTTATTATTATTATTATTATTACGAGGGTTTAAATTACCTTCTTTTTTTTTTTAAATAATGTACGTTTTAACACGTTTTATTTATTATTTATTACTTATATAATAATTTAAGTTAGTATTAAATAAAAACTTTTTCATTTTCGAAACAAAAAAAAAAAAACATTTAATAAAGTTTCAAAACTTTTTTTTTTTTTTTTACTTTTTCGTGGTGATAAATGAAACGTCGTAAAATAACAAAAAAAAAAAAATTTTTTCTTTTCCAACCTTCTATGTTTTATTAACATACTTCCGTTTCTGCTTTTTTTTAAACAATTAAAAACTAAAACTATATACTTAACTTTTCTTTTCTTTTTCCTACATCTGGAAGAATAAAATAAAAGAGAGAAAACGTAAACAAAAAAAAAAAAGTTTTGAAAAAAA